CCGCAACGACAACCAACAACAACCGCAGCAGCAACGACAACGACAGCCAACAACAACCAACAACCAAACAACAGCCACAAACGAACAATCAACAACCAACAACCACCACCGCGACCACCGCCGCCACCACCGCCACCGCCGCAACAACAACAATCAAACGGCAACAAACAACACCCAGCCACAGCAACAGCCGACCGACCAGGACACAACAACAACACGAGCAGAAAGAGCAGCGCCGCGCAACCAAACAACCGCAGGCGAGCGACAAGACCACGCGACCAAAACAACAAGCAACAGCGACAACAACAAAACCACAAAAGCCAATCAGCCAACACGCCTGCGTCCAAGAACTCAAGGTTTTCCAGCCGTCAGCCAATATTTCCGTACATTTCACAGAATTTTTTGTACATTGTACAATTTTTTCGCGCGTGCAAAAATATAGGGCGCCCATTTTTGCGCACGCAGGAGAAAACGTACATTGTACAACTTTTTTGGTCCGTACAACTCTCCAGGTTACCCCTTCATGTTGGTGGCCATCGAGGAGGCCATGTTGCGTCGCATAGCAGCCGGAGCGGGCCGGCGGGGGCAGTGGCACCTCATGCTGCCTGACATCTTGAACCAAATCAACGGAAGGAAGCACGCTACCACGCAGGTGGCGCCGAACCTCGCCTACTCTGACCCCGAAATTGCAGAGATTGCTCTGCGCAACATCGAGCACAGCAAGGTGACCCGCCCGGAAATCAAGGTCGGGGATATGGTTAGGATCAAGGTTAAGCCGATCGAAAGCGGGGGCTCCTACAGGGTCAACGAGATAGCCTGGAGCGAAAAGGTGTCAGGGTAGCCTCCGCCGAGAGCGGTGATGGGGGCGAGGTTTGGCTTGGAGGGTTGGCCGGAAAAGGTGGTGCACAGGGATCTCCGAAAAGTCCCCGAAAACTCAGCTCCCGAGCCGCGGGGGCTGGAGGTGCAGTCCCGCCAGCGGAGGCTACAGAGAGGTCCCAGGCTCCCACCTCCCTTTTGAGACTCTGTGCCTCTTCTACTTGTCCGACAGCTTCGCCCGCCACTGACGAGCTTCTTCACGTCGTGGGGCGGGCCCCCGTGATCTAGGACCGCGTCCCACGCGTCCCACTTCCCGTTCCACGTCCCATCAGCCGCAAACCAGTGCAGGGAACTCTGCCCGCTGGGAGCGCGTGGCCGGGGTGTTAAGAGCCGCAGAGACTTGGCTCACCTCTCTCATGATTTCCTCCAGGTCCACGCTCGCACCGATCTCTGGCGCTGCCAGGAGGGCGAAGCGGGCCATGCGCCTCGGGCACTTGTACTCCATGCAGCCGCCAGTGTTGGGGGCGTGGCTCCCAGGGTCAGCCCCTGCCTGCTGGCCAGCGCCTGGAAGTTGTGGATCAGGCTGTAGTGGTCGCTGTGCAGGACAAGCAGCACGGTGTGCTCGACGACGCCCGTGCCGCTCGGGGCGCGCTGCTGGAGGATGTGGTAGTACTCCTGCCCGTCCGCCCACCGGGTTTGCTGCCAAACGAAGACGAAGACCTCCGCCCGCCCGGCGTTGCGGAGCTCGAAGGCGTCGATGTCGTCGAAGCCCACGGGGCGGTCCGTCGGCAGGTTTGAGAAGTCCACCCCCGCGTCGGCCAGAGCGGGCTGCCAGCCCGCAGGGCGGCGTCCACAGCGAGTCGGCGGTGCTGCCCTGCAGGTTCAGCGCTGTGAGGAGCTCTCTGGAGGCCTCGTCCAGCTCCTTGCGCGCCTTCTCAACCCGCTCCAAGGCAGCGAGGGTTGCGCTCTTGGCTGCCAACAAGACCGGCAGTCGCTCAGCGATTTTCTTGCTGACGTTGGGCCGAAGCTCTTGGGCCTGCTTCGGCATCTCCCTCCAGTCCTGGATGTCGACCTCCTCCGCCGGGAACCTGCCGGCGACCCCACAGCCACTCTATCAGCCGCTCTAGCACGGGCGCTCCCCAAGTGAGCTCATCATGCAGGCGGCTCACCTCCTCCAAAGAGGCTCCCCGCTTCAGCGCATCGGCATCGACGGCGGCCTTCAGCAGAGGCCTCAGCTGCTCGCGGCGCTCCAGGATGTGGGTGGCCATTCTGAATTTTTTTACTGAGCAAAAATCGGCTGCGGCAGCGGAAGAAACTACAGCGGACACTCGCGAGACGGTGGCTCCACACGCAGATCCGTGACCTCAAGACTCAAGCCGCACACGCCGCTCATCAACCACAAGCTGCGCGCTCTCAGCCGAACGCGCGCGGCGCACTGGGCCAGCTCTGCGGGGCGGTCCGCAAACGTGCCGCCAGCGTTCCAGAAGCGCGCGTGGGCAGGCAGCTTGGCCTTCAGCATCCAATCGCCGCCGCGCGATTGCCTCACGGAGGGCAACTGCCTCGGGGGTGAGCTTCGCCTCGAAGACGCGCTCGGACGCGGCCGCCAGCTGCTCTATCAGATCGGTCTCGGCCCGCTCCCAGAAGAGCCTCGTGCGCTCGTCGGTTGCGAAGCTCACGCTGGGGC